TATTGAGACAATTGTGTGGAGTTTTAGTCCTTGTTCCTTTTCTGTTGTATACTACATTTATTGATTTGCTGGTGTTGAACCATCCTCGTAACCCTGGAATGAATCCTTGGTCATGGTATATGATCTTTTCGATGATTGACTGCGTTCTGCTTGCCAGTATCCCACCTCCTAAAAGTGCATGTACCAGGAGATCACCAATGGCAACCAGTGAGTCTCCCCATGAACTAGCACACCGCAATCCAACCACCTCTGAATATAGGACCCAACCATAATGCACTGCTAAGTGCTTTCCGTCTATGATCCCCAATCCTTGTGCAATTCGGCACCAACATGGTATCGTCCCTCCTTCCAGAGGAAGAACCTGAGACCAAGAAAGAGTAGAGCAGGGCAGCCACACAGAGGAGACAGCGTAGCACTGGGGTTGGAGTGCCAGCTTGGCAACTGGAATCCCTGGACTGTATCCCAGCCAACATGTGCTCACCACGTAATCCAACTTAATCTTTTTCTGACCTTGTTTTCTCACTTGCAAAGCAGAAATGATGTTTACTTCTTAGGTGTGCTACGAGGACTGAATGACTAACCCGTGAACGTGCTTGTCTCACGTTAGCACCAGTGAAAGTCACGTGGCTTAAATTCACCAGGAGCCAGGCCACCAGCTCTGGACTTCCCCGTCCTATAAGCCAAGGGACGCTCTTTCTTTTGTGAGACGTGCCAGGCTGATTTGAAGTTTTCAAATCTGACAACCAAAATTTCCGACCCTAACACTATTTTGATCTCCATTTTGATAAATGAAGAAACTTAAAATCAGAGAGGTTGAAGGTAGGTTCTCAACATGCCCCGATGATGAGACTCAGCCGTAGTTAGTGGAATGTCTCCTTTCAGAGGGTCCTGTAAAGGCAAGGACTGGATCTGGGGAGAAAAAAGGGACCAGTTTGGCGGCTTCTTGACCTTGGTCTGATCTATGTTGAATGGATCAATGACTTTGCTTATACGGATTCATTTGCACGCGGTCCAGTGGTCCAGATCCCAAGTCAGTGCTTCCTGGAATGTGGCAAGCACAGGACAGCTGGAGGAATGTTCTCAGGCAGATACAAGTCGTTTCCAAGCCTCCAAGACCGAGGATAACATGAGTGGAGAGAAGTGAAAGCCGTAAGGGTTAATCTCGAGAAAGCCAGAAGATACCAGGTTATACACCCGCCTTCTTCTCCCCGCCACCTCTTGCCATTTGTCCTACCTATATTTGTCCTCTACTTTTCTTCTCTTTTTCCTACCCTCCTCTTTCCGCAATTAGAATGTTTACAAGAAATATATACAATGAAATAGCACCAGACATTAGGGTCAGGTAAATCATAAACTAGAATAGGAAATATGACTAAGGGGTGGGGACAAACTATTTACATGTCAGATATGGTGTTTCACTGTTGTTCTGGTAGAACTTCCTGGTGGCCAAAGCAGAAATGGGAAGCAGAATCAATTTTATAAATTCGGAAAATTTGGTAAATCAATTTGGTAATATCTGACGAGTGTGGGCAGACATTACTGCCCCCTAAGAGATCCAAATGCCTTTCCTGGTCATTGGTGCTTAGAGGAAAATTCTGGATGCTGTATGCAGGTGATGCTGAGTACTGTCACGCAGATGACATGCCCATATAGATGGCGTGGATCATGCGGCCATGTAGTGCCCTTGGCCCCATATCTGAACGCAAATGCAGTAACAGTTTTCATAACTTTATTTCTTGGAATATTCTCCAAAGAAAGCTACCAGAACGGCTCTGAAATACAATTGAATCAGAGCCGTTAGAAATGCAGAGTGAAACATAACTTCATAATGGCTTAGTTGATCCAACAGTATGTCTCCTGCTGTGTTTCTCAGAACACTCCCCGCCCCCATCATACGTAGCATGGATAAATGTCATCTAAGAAAAGGGTTCCAGGACTGGGGCTGTACCTCAGCTGCAGAGCGTGGGCTGAGTACATGCAAGGTTTCAAGTTCAATCCCCGGCTCTACTGAAGGTAGGAGGTTCGGTGGGCACACAGATTAGAGATGAAATCAGGACTCAGCAAGATCGAGGGGTGGGGTTGTTTGATTTTGTTTTTAGTAACTACAGCTGAGTCCTGAGGAGCATGAATCCTGAGGAGCATAGATAGAGGCAGGAGTTCTGGGGCAAGAATGTGAGCAAAGATTCTCACCAGCCAGGGTGAGTGTGGTGCAATAGGGCAGCAGGCTCTCTGCTGCTACTAGCTTGTGACCTGAGAGTGAGCTGGTGACCTGAGAGTGAGCTGGCCATGGACAGAAGCCAGGGACCAGTCCAGTCACTTGATTTCATGACGCTGCAACTCCAATTTTCTTTTTTTTTTTTTTTTAATTTTTATTTATTTGTTTATTTTGTGTGTGTGTGTGTGTGTGTGTGTGTGTGTGTGGCCAACTCAGCCCACCAGGGGGCGGGGCTGGCTGGCATGTGGTGCTGGGGGATTGAACCACGGTCCCTGTGCTTTGCTTAGCTTAGCTTGTTCTAAGTAGGTGTTTTAGACCACTGAGCCATCTCACCAGCCCTGCAACTCCAGTTTTCTTTGCCCTGATGAACTCAACATAGGATCAAAAACTCAGGTCAGAAATATCTTCATCAGGATGAAAGTCTGTGGTTACCTGCTCTGTGTGATTTCTGGGGTGACCCCGCCCAGCTCCTGGCTCCAGCTATCCCAATTGCAGCTGGTGTGAAATCCGACCCCTACTTCAGACTGTGTGTCTCAGCCTTGAGTCCATACAGCGCACACATGCACCCCTGGCTGTGAGAAGATGTAAGATGAAAGCAGCTGTATTTCAAAGAGGAAAAAAAAAATTTGTTCCAAATTTATGAGCTTATAGTTGTGCAGCAATTAAAACATACAAGTACATTTTCTTTGGAGATTTGGAAGGATTTATTGATGTTTCAGGACTTAAAAGATTACAGCAGGGCTGGCCAGATAACTCAGCGGATTACAGGGTCTACTTAGGGAGATGCAGGGATGGGGCATTCTATCCCCCCCCTTGCCATGCTGGCCCCGACCCTGGGGGCGCGCTCAGATGGCAATTGAGACTGGGCGTGGCACGCGCCTGTAATCCCAGCTCTTGGGAGGCTGTAGAGAGGCAGATTTCTACGAGCCAATCTACTAGTGAGACCCTGAACACTCTGTACACCCTTCCCTAAAAATAAAAAATTAAAAGTTAAGCAAAAAAAGATTACAGCAAACACAACCCTAAGGTGGAGTTGAAAGTGAAGCCTAGACTAATGTGACATTTGCAATCTCCAGAAATATTCTGTACCTCCCGTGGGGTACGTTTGCTTCAAGCTATGCAGACACCCTACTCGCAGTCACTTCTCTGTAAGAAATATTGGGCAAACAGGTTGCCAAAGTGTCTTATCACATCCCTAGGGAAGATCAATTACACCTGGGTCAGTTACAACCCAAGGTGCATAAATTCCTGAGACTTCTCTGCTGTGCAGGTTCCCAAGGTAGGCCAGTGCCTAAGTAACCTTCCATAACCTCCCCAAGTGTTACGGTCTCCATTTCATCAAATTTATACCTGCGTTTCTGTAAAGTTGAAATCTTTGCTCAAGATCACACAGCTAACAAAGTGGCAGGAGCCAGATTTCCAACAATAAAGTTGAAACAGATAATTAAAGCAGGGCACCTTTAAGAAACAAAGTTGACCCCCATGCAGAGATGCCAGGATAAGGACCAAAGGAAGGAACCCACTGAAACACAGCCATTTCTCAGAGTTGGTAATAAGAAAAACATTCATGTTCTACTTTCTATGTATTTCTATTGTGGACTGTTACAACCAACATAATTTCTTAATGGTGTTTACCCAACACCACCAGAAGGCTGTTCTTCAACCTCTAACCCAAAATAATTTCCCTTGGTCTAATTTCAGTCTCCCTTAACCACTCAGGGACACTTTGGCTCTCCACCGAGGTGGCAAGTAGAGACAGACTTTATAGGCTACGCAACTTTACTCTCTTGTCCATCTGATTTTTAATGTCTTATTATAAATATATGTGGCTAAGTATGGTTTTTCTCTGCTAACCCCGATTCTTTCTGGGGTCTAGCAAATAGAAAGGTACAATAATATATAGGGCCATTTAAAGCAGAGGAGAATAAACTGTGTGTTTTAGCATAGTACTGCACAGACATGAGGTCACCCCTGGCTGTGTACAAAGTCTAATCGTCTTATCACTGTTTGACTCAATCAGACAAGTAAAGGCTGGTTTTCTCATATGTTTCAGTGTTGGTAAAAATTTTCTTTCATGAGGGGCTAGCAAGATAGCTCAGTGGTCTAAAGCCCCTGCTCAGGCAAGCTTAGGTAAAGCGCAGGGCCCGTGGTTCGATCCCTCACAATAGCCCCATACCCAGCCGGCCACCAAAAATACATATCTATATCTATATCTATATCTATATCTATATCTATATATATATTTTTTTTCCATGTGAAATTGAATGAGAACTCACTCAAGAATAAAACTTGGGGCTAGAAATGTAGCTCAGATGGTGGGGTGCGTGCCTCACATGCCCCAGCACCACAAAATATATACATACATACATGCATACATACATACATACATACATAGACATTGTTATGAGTTTAATACAACTGAAAATTCAAAGATAGATTCTGGCTTCGGGCAAGGCGAGATTTAGGCTTCCAAGCAATGTCAGCAAGACTTTGTTTCTCTTTCCTTCTTCCTTTTCCCTGAACTTACTCTTAGACATGTTTTCTGCACACTGCGGTCCCGGCAACTGCCGAGTTCCACCCGCTGGCTGGAAAACCCAGCGGAAACACTTTTTTTCTCAAGCGGTCTAACAGAAATCTCAGAAGTGAATCTCATTGGCTGAGCTTAGATCAGGTGCCTATGGCCGAACCAATCGCTGCAGCCAATAGGATGGAATATGCTGATTTTGGTCGGCCCTGCATAACATTGCGTCAGCTCCCCCACCCCCCACCCCCACCCTAGCCCAGACATCCGGAGAGAACCAGGGAACTCTTAGCCTCAACAGGGGAGTGAGTAGTGGTTGCCCAAAATGAAAACAGGCTATTGTTACCCACAAAGGGTAAGTACGTGCTGCGCACCGATGCCAGGTGCTAGATCCAAAGTCCCTTCAGCTTGATCTGGGGGAAAAGGTGACAGAAATAAAGGTTGAGAAGAAATGGGATGGGGTGGTGGGAAGACTGGATTTCTGAGACAGAGGCCCAGAGGGAGAGGTGGAGCCAGAATTACTCTACAAGGGAGGGCACCGCTGCCAGGTTGGCATTGCATGATTCTCCACAGATGACACAAACAGCAGGGGACCCCTCAGCCACATCTGATGTGGCCTTTCTAGGGCACTTTTGAGGGAGTCGATGCGCCACCACACCCTGGTACTATTCAGGGCACACAGTTTCTAATTGCCACCCCACGTGAGTCCTGCTAGCCCGAGCTGTCCGAGGACAACTGTGTCCACGTGAACTGAGGAAGCTGAGCTCCACAAGATTGGGAACCAGACCTTGGACACCCATGGGTCCTGCCCCTCATGGCAGGCCCCTTGGCAAGCGGCCGGCAGGCCCGCCTGTACCACACCCTACCCGAGCTTCCAGGCCTTCCTCCTGGGCCCAGGGCTCAAGGCCATCGCAGGGAAGGACCCCAGGAGCAGGGTTTGCTTGGAGTGGACCCAGATAAATGCCAACTGTTCTCACTGTGATAGGAACAGAACTGGATGCTGAGGGCACCAAAAATAACGGGACCGTTATCAGGTACTTGCATGTGGCAAGATCCCAGAGAGATGCCTATGAACCAGTAACTTAATACAGCTGTTGTGACCACAGGGCCGAAGGACCTGGGGTGGCCTTTGCTTTTGTCTCCCTGTTTACCTTGCCTTTTCAGCACCTACTCTGAGCACTTCTCACCACTCCTATCTTTCACAGGACCCACTGCCTGTCCGTGCACTCAAAGCACGAGAAAACTGTTCCTGGCTTATCCTAACACCGGAAGGTTTTGTCTAGACATTTCTCAAAGTAGAGTTCTCTGTTCCACCCAAGTCAGGATCATAAGAATGTTTGCTAACTGCGCAGAGGCAGAGGTTTTGATGCCATCCAGACCTGCTAGATGCTGGTCTCTAGACTAGAAATTGCATTTTGCAAAGTGGAAAGGAGGCTCGAAGAGAGCTTGTGAGCATATCCCAGAACTTCTGTACACATGCTCCAGGGAGCTGGCCCAGACAGGAAAGTCCTGATTCATTAGGCCCTGCCCCCTCAGGCCCTTCTATCAGGCAATTCAAAGTCTCCAGGTCCTGCAGTTACTGATTAACCTCCGGTTTCGAGTAAAGAAACAATAATAAGTGAAGGGACCAACATAAGTAAGCCGAGAAAGAAGTCGGACAGCCCTGGGAGAGAGTGGTGCCTGACGGCAGTTGACAATAGTCACTTGGCAAGAGTGAAAAGGAGGATTGAAGAGTCCAGCACAGGGTCGGAATCCATCCCAGTCCTGGCGAGCATGGCTGACCCTCCCTGTCCACGTCCTAGTACTGAGCAGCTCTGTTTTGCTGGCTCTGCAGCCAGGATGTCCTGCACCGAGGCCCCGCAGCAGCCCCAGCCCGTTGCAGCAGGAGCCACCACCATCGCTTTGGGACCTGCTGGTCATCACCAAGGCTCCACAGAGGGTGACCTGGAATGCCTGGTATGCCGCGAACCCTACAACTATGCCCGGTCACCCAAGCTGCTAAGCTGCCAACACAGCTTCTGCGCTGTCTGCCTGAAACTCCTACTGTGTGTACAGGAAGACACCTGGTCCATCACCTGCCCGCTGTGCCGTAAGATCACTGTGGTCCCGGGGGGCCTCATCTGCAGTCTGCGAGACCAGGAGGCAGTGATGGGACGGCTGGCCGGGCTGTGCGTGGAGGTGCAGCTCTGTCCCCAGGGGCTGCAGCGTTCTGCCACTTCGAGAGTGGGGTACCCCGGCTTGGCTGGCGAAGATGAGCAAGACGCAGTGACTGCCAACCGGGTGGCAGCTCGGCGCCTGGCCGTGCACCTGCTCCTGCTTGTCCTGCTCATCATCCTCATCTTGCCCTTCATCTACCCAGGCATCATCCGGTGGGTGCTGGCCATGATTATCGCCCTGGCCTTGCTCATAGCCACCTTGTTCTGCTGTTACTCGCATAACCAGGGCAGCTGCTGGCCCTGCCCCAGGACTCACTTCTGCAGAGAGCAGAAACACAGCCAGATCGCTTCCATCGCCTGAGAGCCCCAGGACCCTGCAGCCCAGCAGCCTCCCTGCTTCTTGGGCCTCTGACTTTCTCAACCCATAGGGTAAGGGGTGATGAATTCAGCCTGGCTCCTCTGAGACTCCATGCCGGCTGGACTTGCATGCCTGAGCTGGAATGACCTGTCTTGGGTTAAGAACTCCGTGCTTGGGCAACGGGCTGGCACCTGCCCTTGATATGGCACAGCCATATGTGAAGCGTGTAGGGAGGAGGCACAAAGGGCGGACTCCCGTTCCTCTCGCTGTGATGCCCCTGGTTTTTCTGTATATAACTTCAACATATTGTAATATTGACCTTGCGGGACATATACAAATAACACCTCTTTTATAGTCAGTGTGGCTGGTTTTATGTTCTTGACTTGGGCTAGTTTGGTGGCTTCGTGTTGGGGGCAGATTGGGCATATTTTAGCTGTTACAGGTTTTCCCTCCTGGGAAGCACGCTCCCACGCTTTCCCTGACATTGCTCAGGGTGCCCATTCCAACCCCACCCCAGGTCCTGTTGTGGGGGGTCTCCTCCTGGTTCAAATCAGGGTGAGATGGAGAGGAGTTGTGTGAAGGGGTAGAATTTCCATGCTTCAGAGGAGCCCGTATTTAGCAGGCAGAGTTGGGGCGGGTAGAAAGAGGGGTGGACCTGGGAATTGCTCCCAGCGTCTATTCTGTGATCAACAGCTCTAAACCATGAGGAATCTCAGGGTTACAGGGAGCCCCTCACCCCAGCACAAGGAGACCATCCCCTTCTGATACCTCCACACCGAGGAACCAAATCGTTATGGATAGTGCTGTCTTTGTTATTGGATCCCATGCCCCATTTGAACTTTTGTCATAAAGATAAGAGGCCTCATAAATGCAACGGTCCTCACTGATAACTCCACCTTGTCTCCTCACCCTGACAGTCACAGTCATCAGAAAAGCACTGGTGTCTTCTCTTGGGGACCATTCCTGCTTTCTCAAAGAAGAAGGGCATCTGCTGGAGGGCATGACCTCCCTGGGGGCGCCCCCAACACAATCCAGGCTCAGTCAGGGTTAGATGTGGAAGCCCAGGGGAGCAGAGGGTGGGAGATGACAAATGATTGCCTTCCAAGGGCTTCATAGTTAAGGGCTGACTTCAAACCTCAGCGGGTCTCACCATGCACTGTTCTCCCCTTGCAGTGACTTCTTTGTTCATTCCCTTTTCTCCTGGCAAATCTAAGCTACATCCTGGGTACGGTGCATGGTGATGCTACCTTTGCCAGGAGGGACAAGGGAACTCTGCCCGTGGAGCAGGGGCTGAGCCCAGCTCAGTGGTGTGGGTTGCTGAACCTCACAACCTCCCCACTCCTCTGAGCTGCATTTTCCTGGAACAGAGTTAGCCAGATTGCCTTTGTCCTCACAACCCTAAAAGCCCCAGGAGCTGAGGGCAGCAGCAGCCCCAGGACAATAGATGTGGGCCATCCCCTCTGTGGACTCATATGAGGAGAAACTGAAATATACCGATGAAAATTGTCTTTCCTTAAGTCTCAGTGTTTTTTTTATTTTGTTTTGTTTTTTTCTTGCAAGGTGCTTGCCAGGCAACACCAGGTGCTGGGGGCAGGGGAGTAGGTGTGCGTCGACCTGTGCTTTAGTCCAGGCCATTTGGGCCTGAAGGACACCCTGTTCCCCTGGAGGAGCAAACAAAGAGGACTGTCAGCATCTCCTGAGCTCACCTGGGGCATGCAACACTTGAGATGACTGCCAGTGAGGTAGGAAAAGAACATTCCCTCCACCCACTCCTTCAATCCCATTCTAGCAAGATCCCGGATGCTTCACCAAGACTGAAGCCTCCACCAAGGAGGTCTCGGATGCCGATGACATCATCTCTACCCTAATGGTGGGTGGGTGTTGATCCAGTTATCAGTGGTACCCAGCTTTGCCCTAACTGAATGATATGCTTAATCGGATCCTCATAGTGAGTTTATGAAGTAGAGGAGATCATTGTCTCTTTCTTACAGCGGAAGTGACAGGGTCAGAGAGGTGGATTCCTTCCCCTCAGGCTGTAGGGCAAGCAGTGCCAGAACTCCCTCAGGAATTAGCCCAGGGCTCTCCCTATCTCATCATGTGGCCTCTTTTTAGGGCAGCTCCAGAACCAAGAACCTGTACAACATTTGTAAAGCCTCTGGTGGATTCCACAGAGAACAAGAAATAAATTTCAAAAGCCTCTGCAAATGTCAGTGGCCAGGCACTCAGAGAGGGCAGGGAGTTTTAGAACTTGTACTAAAGAAAAGAGCAGAGGATGATAAAAAGATAAATGGCACTCCTGCGGCGTGTCACCATCTCAAGCTGCCCTCCCCACAGCTGGCAGGACACTGGTGTCCCAGTTTTGAGATCCTACCTTTCCTAGCCTAGTCTTTTAATAAGTTCCTCATGGCCCTGAACCTCACCTTGTGAAGGTCAGAAAGGTCCCTGCAAAAGTGAGTTTCCTGGTATCATTCCTGGTACTTAGCATCCCCCAACTAATGTGCTCTGGTGCCTTGGGCAGAGGTGTTCTGACACTGCTGTCCCTACCCCTTTCCAAGCCCAGCTGGTCCCAGGTACCTTCAGGCCTCTTGCAGCAGTAGAACAGAGAATGGCAGAGGTTGGTACCAGTATAGGCTGTCCTGGGAGAATGGGAGTGGAGGGTAAGAGACAGGCAGCACTGCAGAAGGGCATGAGGCCTGGGGTTCCAGGCCAAGCTGTGGGCCAGGGCTGGGAGGAAGTCACAGAACTTCTGTGAGCCTTAGACTGCTGCCTATAAAGTGGGGAGGGCTGTACCCATCTCTGGGGGCCTCCCTGGGGATACCAGTTGTTTCCGGATTAAGATTAATGCCATCATTGACCCCTTGGGGGAATGGATTTCTTGGGGCCTGTTTTGTGTGACAGCCATCAGGGCCCAGCCTCAGTGGTGGGGTAGAGACACTACCTCAGGGTGGGGAGAGAGTGTTATCCCGAGCAGAGCAATTAGGTGCAGTTTGTGCTTCAGTCAAAAGGATGGAAAGGAATTGGGCGTGTGGAGGACAAATTCCATCCCCATGAGATCCATCCCCCACTAAGTGAAGTCAGAAGCAGCTCACCTGGAAGGCCCTGGATTCAACCCCTAGTACTGCAAAAGTAAAAAAAAAAAAAAGTTTCCAACATCTCACGAGCCACTAGGGGGTAGGTAAGAGCACCATGGTTAGGAATCCTCGATCCTAAGGATGTAGAGTAAGAGCAAAGAGACAGAGCAAAGGAAAGACAGGGCTGAGTTCTGGAAAACCCTAGCAGGAATGAGAAGAACAGACTCACGCATCCCTGGGCACTGGAATTGACCTCCTCCCCTACCAAATCGCCTCCTCACAATAATAAAAATCACAATTACCGGCATTATTTGACTACACAATGCAAGGGTTTTGCAAGCCTTGTCACACCCAGACATACTATCAGGTAGGTACTATTATTATCCACAATTCTCAAGCGGGCATAGAGGGGTTAAGTAACTTGGCCAGAATCACACAGTAAGTTGGAGGTAAGGGCAAGAATAAATTGCCGAAATCTAACACCAAAGTCTGAGCTTTGAGCCACTTTGCTGTGCCACCAGGTAGAACATTCTCGGTGCACTGGAAGTCCTTAAAGGATGTGCTTTCTGGCTCTTAAGAGTGAAGAATAGTGTTTGTAAATAGGATATCATGTCTGCATCTTGTACAGCAAATAACCACTAGGAGGAGAGTATGCAATGTATTAATTATTGAAACTGTCCTACCAGTTTGATTTGGAACTGTCTCATGGCTATTTGTTTCTCAACAAAATTATGGGGGAAAAAATGAAGAATAAAGAAGAGCTGCCATCTATCACTGGGGTGCAGCTTCCTGGCTTAGTGGGCCCGGGAGCAGAGGGTTGTGGGTGCCCACGTGTCCCATCCCCCACAGCCACTTCCTTAACTCACGTAATACCCCCAAGTCGGTGGTGGGCCCCTGTTCATCATTAGAACCCTTGTCGAATGACTAAAGGAAGTAATTCAGCCTTTACTAGAACAGGAAGTTCTTTGTGGATGTCAGAGCAGAACATTTCCAAGAACAGAGGCAGGGCTTGCCCATGACGTCCTGAGGTCAGCACAGATCCCAGCTAGCTGGTCCTGTACTTAGGAACCGGATCAACCTGCAGCTGTTCCTAGGAACTCTATCTCCATCTGAGTACCTTTGGCAACAGCCTGGCGTTCTTTGGCTTGATTCAGGTAGAAATTGTGAGTCAGTAAAACGCAGCTCTGCTAGCAGTCGTGATGTCACCACCTAACGATACATAAGAACGGTCCACGTATCTGGCAGCGTGTGCTGGACACCAGAGGTCAACTGCACCAGGAGCCGGTCTTCATTGGCTGCTGGTCTGTGGAGCTCCTTGGTCCTCACAGCTATTGTAACTGGTCACCCAGGTTCTTACGCTTAGTTTTGTTGGCTTGCCACTGACCAAATCAAAAGAGGCCATAGAAGAATGTTGAAATCTAGCTTCTCTGCACATCCTGTCACTTTCTTTTTGGTTGAGGGGAGGAAGTGTTGGTTATATGCTCAGGGGGGTGAAGATATTTGGAGAAATTGCTGGTCCCTACAGGGGGAAAAAAATAAATTTAACTTTTAAAGGTCTACTTTGTGCCAGGAGAGGTGGTGCATACCTCCAATCCCACCACTTGGGAGGCTGAGGCAGGAGGATCAACTTTGAGGCCAGCCTGGGCCACATAGTGAGTTCAAGGTCAATCTGAACTATGCAGGGAAACACTGGGGTGGGGAGAAAGGGGGAGAGAGAGACATGGGGAGAGGTAGAGAGAGAGAGAGGGCTGGATGGAGGGAAGAAGGAGGGAGGGAGGAAAGGAAGGAAGGAAGTTCAACTTGGTAATGGCGGTTACATTATTAGTGTTTCTTGCTTGTTCTTTTGAAAAGCCCACTCAGTCTGCTGTGCCACTCCTAAGAATCTCAAGTAGACTTAAAGGTGAGAGCCACACTACTAAGAAATAAATCACAAACGAGTTTACAGGAGCACTAACAAAAAGTGAGTTTTTCTTTAAACAGGACCTGTGCTGCAGCACAGGTGGTCAGTTCTCAGGAGGAAGCCCCACTAGACTAGCCTGGGAAGGGGCTGGGGAGTGCGGCTTATACAGCACCTACAGGCCAGGTGCCCGGTTAGAGACAGGGCCGAAGCCAGGGAATCTTCTGGAAGGCTTGCTGTGTGTGTTGGGTATGCAAACAAGGAGCCAGATCCCTCTTCTCTTGATTTTAGCTTCCTCCCTTCAAAAAGCCAACCATACTGTCTGAAGTGGAAGGAGTGGAGAAGGGTGCTGTGCTATCTGGCTGCTTTCCTGTTGGGGTTTTG